CCAGTGTTTGATTTATGAATTTGATTTCTTAACTGTGTTTTGAAAACACTTTACAAAATAATTTATATTTATAAAAACATACAGTACTCACCCATTAAGCCATAACAATGCACATCTAGTTTGGTTTTGTTATACACTGTATATTTACAGACAAAATGTATCATTTATAGTGAATTACTTTATAATGTCTGGTAAACAAACTATTTTATATGAGAAATAAAATGAAATATTTATTATGATAAATAGTTACATGTTTTTAATTTAGCAAAATTTATTATATTTTTAGTTTAATTATCATATAATAATTGTTTTCGTGTGCAATGACCGAGATGGTTTCATTTACTAGCGTGCTATTATTTAGGAAATTGTCCATGTTATATTATAGAGAATATGCTTGATGTTTTTTGTGATGGTTATTTATTTCCGCACGAAATCTATTATGTATTAGACATAAGTATTTACTCTTATGTTGGAAATTAAATGTCATTTTTTCTGTCAATCCATCAAAACGTCTAATAATATATATTATTATAATACATGTGTTTTGTATGTGTTGTGTATATAAGTAAAGGAAATTGTTTTTTTGTTTATATTTTTAATAATAAATTTATAAATAAATTATTTATTTTTAATCGAAAATTTAGTATCTATTATATGGCACAGAATATTATGTAAAATGTTTATTAATTTTAATTTTAGCCATAAACTATTTAATTATTTAAATATATCGAGTCATTTTAATAATTTATAAATATAATGCATAGTATTCAAATTTAAATATTTTGACTATAATACTATTTAATTAATTAATTAAGTCAATTCCATACAATTACTATACAATACATACAGGATATTAATTACAATTTTATTCAATGGAAATCCCAAAAATGTTTATATAAATAATACATTAAAAGGTTTCCATAAAATATATAGTTTTCAAATATTTGATAAAATAAAATATTAAACTATTATATAATAAAGTGTAAATTTGCTACTCTTTAGGTTTCCTGCCATCGATACTGGAGGGCTCGGTTCGGGGTAACTATGGGCTCATGGATCAGGTGGCGGCCCTACACTGGATCCAAGAGAATATACAAGAATTTTATGGCGATAACAATAACGTTACGATCATTGGTCACGGATATGGGGCCGCCTGCGCTCACCTGCTCATGCTTTCGCCTATGGCCACCGGTCAGTACAATATACACTCAAATATATTTACCATCATCAATGATTTACTAGTATCTAATGGATACAATGTCGAGATTACTTTACTTAAAACGTACTTTAAATTTATTCACCAGGGTTATTTGCCAGAGTGGTGCTAATGAGCGGCTCGGCGCTCAGTCCGTGGGCCATAGCCCGCAACGCCGATATATACTCAATTAAATTGGCCCAGGAGCTTAACTGTCCCATCTATGTAAGCCAACAAAAAAAAATTTAATCATTCATAATTAAATAACCATGATCATAAAAATCAATTACCAACATAGGATAACATAGTAATGGTGGACTGTATACGACACAAAACCGTTGAGGAGATACAAGCGGTGCCGTTGGAGGCGCCCCAATACCTGACCTCATTCGGGCCTATCATCGACGGAATACTAGTGCCTTCGGAGCCCAAACACATACTGGAGACCGGGCTCTCCGACTTTAACTACCACTTTCAACACAACGTGTCGGGCCATGGCGTGGGCGCGTCGGGCGCTACCGCCGGCGCCGCCACAGCTCCGCAACCAGTGCCGGCCCCTCCGCCGCAACCGCCACTCACACCACTACTGTCCCAATCGGTGCACTACATCAACAACTATGACCTACTGTTTGGCGTGACTCGAGTGGAGGCCCCGTATGTGTTCGGCGCTCACGAAGAGCGTCACGGCATCGATCCGTCCAAACGCGACCGCATTCTCCGTACACTCGTTAGGAATTTGTTTGACTTTCAGCAACAGGTAATTGCTTTTAAACAACACCTATCATTGTATTAATTTTAAATAATCATGGTCATCATCATTATTATTGTTTAGTCAATATTTTTGACTCTAATGAATGAGTACACGGATTGGAACCGTCCGGTCGACCACCCGATCAACCTCTTGGACTCGACGGTCGATATACTGGGCGATGCGCTCCGCGTCTCGTCGCTTATAGAGAGCGGAGATTTGCACTCAAAGTGGATCTCCTCTCAGCCCAATCCTCAACACACCTCACAATACAACCATCACTATCACCAGTCATCACAACAGCCGTCACAACCGTATATTTCGTTTAACGGGGGTAACGGTGCTGACGGCGCTAATGGGGCACTGCCTGGAGGACCGGGTGGTAGCGGTGGTGGGCGTAACGCCCGCATCTATTTCTATGTCTTTGCATATCAGGTATGATGTTGTTGTTGAACGTGTTTATGGGTATTAAGTTATTGTTATAATAGCGAGGGTCGGTTGTAGTGATTGGTTGAGAAATATACATGTAAAATAGTTAACTAGCGGGTATTTTTGTATTGCAAACTTTATTTATCACGTGTGCTTGTTACGTATGTAGAGCGAAGATGGTAATAAGTTGTTGCACCAGAGGTTGGGTTGTATGCACGGCGAAGAGTTGGCGTATTTGTTTGGCGCCCCTCTCGCTGTCCAACTGCTCGGCCGACCCGTCGGTCACTTCGCCGCCAACTATAGTAAGCCTGAGATCACGCTCTCGGAGGCAGTGATGACCTATTGGACCAATTTTGCCAAATATGGGTATGTTTTGCCAATATTTATTATTATAGAATTATAGAAACATTACCATGAGCAATATTTTATTGATATTTTAATTTCATATTATGGAATAACTTTAATGGTATTGAATATCTGTTGACAAAACTATGCTAGAATATTTTTAATAAATTATAGATAGATGTTTTATTGATTGTTTTTAAAATATTAGTTTTTGCATAAAAGAAAATTGAAAACAAAAATTTGATAAGAAATTTGTCTTATAATTGACATATAATATTGCGTGTATCCAGTCCTCTTCTCTCTCTCTCTCTCTCTCTC